AATACTTTAAGAGGACATGATTCGATTTGGGTGATTGTTGATATGCTTATGAAGTCAGCTCATTTTATTCCTATTAACATCAGTTTTCTAGTGCCAAAGTTGGCTGAGATTTATATTAGTGTGATTGTGAAGCTGCATGGTGTTCCTTTGTGCATTGTGTCAGATAGAGATCCAAGATTTACTTCTGATTTTTGGAAGAGTTTGCAAGAAGCGTTGGGTTCTAAGTTGAGGTTGAGTTCAGTGTATCATCCTCAGACAGATGGTCAGACTGAACGAACGATTCAATCGTTGGAAGACTTGTTGAGGGCATGTGTTCTTGAGCAGGGAGGTTCGTGGGATACTTATCTTCCGTTGATAGAGTTCACTTATAATAACAGTTATCATTATAGTATTGGAATGACACCTTTTGAGGCGTTGTATGGTCGAAGATGTAGAACTCCTTTATGTTGGCATGAATCTGGAGAAAGTGTAGTACTTGGACCTGAACTTGTTCCTGAGACTACTGAGAAGGTGAAGTTGATTCGAGAAAAGATGAAAGCTGCCCAAAGTAGACAGAAGAGTTATCATGAAAAGCGAAGGAAGGATTTAGAATTTCATGCTGGTGATCATGTGTTTCTAAGAGTTACACCTGTGACTGGTGTTGGGCGAGCATTGAAGTCTAAGAAGCTCACTTCTTGTTTTATTGGACCGTATCAGATTTCGAGGAGAGAGGGAAATGTTGCTTATAGAGTGGCTTTACCTCCTAATATTTCGAATTTGCATGATGTGTTTCACGTGTCGCAACTTCGGAAGTATATTTCAGATCCATCTCATGTGATTCATATGGATGATGTGCAAGTACGAGATAATCTTACGGTGGAGACGATGCATGTACGGATCGCGGATCGTGAAATGAAGACTCTGAGGAGAAAATAGATTGCCTTGGTTAAAGTGGTTTGGATAGGAGCTGCTGGTGAAAGCATGACTTGGGAGTTGGAGAGCAAGATGCGAGACTCATATCCTGAATTGTTTGATTGAGGTAAATTTTCGAGGACGAAAATATTCTAAGTGGGGGAGAGTTGTAACGCCCGTAATTTAATTAAATTATTTTTGGAATATTTATGAAGATTTGTTATAATTAATTGGATTTATTTTATTAAGTGGAGAAATAATATTAGAGATATATTATTATGTGGTGAAATAATATTATAGGAAGTGTAATATTATTTAATGTGGGCTTATTTTGAGAGAGTAGAAGTAATAAGGGGGTGTAGGTTTTAAGCCCAATAAGGAATAATAAAATAATAGGGTTATTTTATTATTTGTTAGAAGGAATAGAAAGAAAGAAGCAGTAGAAAAAATAAGGATTTGGAAGAGAACGTGCAAGCTGCTAGAGAAAGTGGAAAACGGCAAGAACATGAATCCAACCGAAAATTGTAGAGCGACCTTCAATCCGAGGTAAGGGTGGGGTTCTGATTCTATAATTGGGTTTATGATGATTGATATGTGGGGTTAGGGGTGATTGTTGTTTTGTTTTTGAATTGGATGTATATGATGATGTATGATGAAGATTTGATGAATTTTAGATGAATAATGATGTCATGATGTTGTTTAATCGATATGGTATTATAAGTAAATGTTAGGTGATGAATTACCATGATTATATTAAGTTTGTAGGGTTAAGAATATGATTTCCGTAGTGAAAATGCATAGGAAATCATGGAAATTATGCAGGAGGAATCAGGATGTGTCGACCTCAAACTTGATGTGTCGATACATGAGGGTTGTAAGACTCAGGATGAGTCGATACGAAGAGGCTTGCGTTGATACATGAGCGATGGTAGACTCAGGATGAGTCGGTCGGAGAGATGCATGTGTCGATACATGTTGTGTATGAGACCAGGATAAGTCGATCCATAAGGAGGATGTGTCGACTCATGTTACATAGATGAAGTAGTACGCGTCGATCCAAAGGGTTTTGCGTCGATCCATAATGTCTGATTTTTGACAGATTCAGTTTTGATTTGCTGTAACTTGAGTTTTAAGATGTTGTTTCAGATGTCGTTCGAAGTATTGAATAGCTAACGCGATGGACTTTATTCTAGAGGATTAAAACGATGAATAAGAAGTGTAATCCTAGTAGACAATTTAGGACTTAGAATTATTTCCCGTATTGGTCGTTGTGCTGGTTTTTGAACAGAATGATGAATATGAGATGTTTAGAGACTGCTGTTTGAATTATGACAGTAGGGTTAGTGACAGTAACGATGTAATATTGCAGAATAACAGTATGGACTACTGTTGTATTAATTTACAGCTGAGTTGTTAGTGAGTTGTTATTAATGAAGTTGTGTTTGATGCTTTATAATAAATAAATGATGTTTTATGAATTATTTTGATGATATGAGATGTTGATGATGAGACGTTGAGATGTTGTTATGTTGAGATGTATTTTGAGATGTTAATTGAGATGATTTGAGATGTTGTTAATTTGAGATATTGTTATTATTATATTCATGGTTGTGTCGCATACATTGCATTTTTGAGATGGAGCTTATGCTCGTTGAGATGACCCGTATTGGCGAATTTTGAGATGAAGGCTATGCCTTGTTGATGCCTCTATTAATTGGCAAATTTTTGAGATGGGAGTTCTGCTCCAATGGTACCACGTGCATTTGCATAGTATTGAGTCGCATCATATGATTTCATAAAGAAGTGTATTTTTATGTTGATGAATGAGTATATATGTTGTAATATTGTTGATTATGAGATGAGGAGTGGTGATGTTGTTGATCTAATTTAATATATTAATTATCATGCACTTTATTATCATGTTAGATATCTCACCCCTTATGTTTGAATGTTGCCCTTATGTTGGTAACGTGCAGGTAATAGAGAGTGAAGGCTGTATACCTTCAGTAGTTAGAGTTGGTGTCATTGCTCTGATATGTAACACTCGAGGGGATGAACCTTTGCTGATTTTTTATTGTTGATTCTTAGTTGTTGAACCTTAAATTGATTATCATTATTAAATTTGAGATGTTTCGAGGTTGCTGTTTTGTTAGAGATGTTATTAAGAATTCCGCCGCGTAGATGTTGATTTATTTGATTAAAGATGTTATGTTGATGGTTCATTCGATGTTTGAAAAAGTGTTATATATCCACGATGAATGCAATGAATTTGATAGAAGAATTTGTGACGTCCCTATTCGTTTGCATGAATGATTTTTGTAACTCTGATTTATTTTATATAATTGCTTGGGGGTAGAATTGGGGTGTTACAATGATGTCTCATCTTTTAAAATGAACCAACATATTTGTGTTTTAAAATTTTTTATAGGTGAACTACGAGTACCCTAATCCCCTATTGCACGGAAGATGGTACGTAGGCACTAAAGGTTCACAACTCCGACGGGTGCAAAAATTATTTAAAAAAATACTTCTTTTCTCATCCCCACAATTTATTTTTTGTATACAACTCTTATTGCCAAAATACACAAATTTTCAAGTAGGTTCATGCGGAGTACCGTAAATGTTTAGGGTGCTAATACCTTCCCTTTACATAACCAACCCCCGAACTTAAATTTTCTCCCCCTCTTATTGAGATATTCGCTCTTTTCCCATTTCTTTGGAAATAATAAAAGTACGGTGGCGATTTTTATTTGATCTGTGTGAGTCAAGTCAATTCAATGGCTTAGTCTCAACATTTCTACCGCTACAACACCTCTTATCTACCTTGTTCACAAGGATACTAGGTTTAGAAGCGTGTTTTTTTAGGAAAAAAGGGTTTTAATTTTAATTAGGGTAACTTGCTATGATTTTAGTCGTATGCCTACGCATCCTCTTATGAGGAATCGGAGTCTCAATTCGTAGTTCGCAGTTAATTTAAAAATAATTTTCCTTAATCCTTTTTCGAAAAATATTCTTGAATTTGATTATGTTAGTAATAAAAATATTTGAACTGTTGGTTAGCTGTTTTAAATTAATTGATTGAAGTATGGTAGGACACAAAGTGGAGGGGAGTCTGATATAGTCTCCTTATCACGTGGTCAGATATTGGCCACATACTACTCGCGGATGGAGTATTTAACGAGTTGCGTGGGTTTTAATATTTTGATGTAAAATATTAATTTAATTTAATTTAAAAAGATATTTATGTACAAAGTTTATGATTTATCAAATTAATAGAAATTCTAGAAATAAGCATAACTAATTAATCTAATCAACTTCTTACGAATAAAATACACATACTTTTTTATATTTTAGAGTTTTTATTGTTTTTTGTCTTTTTGATATTAAAGATAATTTTAAATTTAAAAAAAAAATTAGCATAGTAAGAATTTTTACACTGATTAAAATAAAGAAGTTACTCAATTAAAGGAAATAATTTTCTTAATCTAAATAAAACTTAGTCAAATAAATCTAGCTAAAAGATTCTACTTAAAAACCAATAACCTAATTCTAAAACAAAAATAATTATAAAACAATAACATCATATGTCAGGGACGGTGCAATGAATGAGTGAATTTTTTTTGTTCTTTTTTTTTCAGCCACTCAAGACATGATAAGTGGCGTTATAAAAAAATTGAACATAAAACCAAAGCATCAGCTTACAAGATAGAACCACGCAATTAATTTCTTCTATCTCTATACACTTTACTCACAAAACACACAAAACAAACCCAGGAGATCAAAACATTATTTCTACATAAACTTAATGTCAAAACTCAAACCCAACTTATCATATGTATGTGGCACTCAATGAAAAGTAAGAAAACTAACCCGACAACAAATCTATGATGACACGACGGCGGCGGCAGGAGATGACAGTGAGGGTGTGTTGTCTGTGGTCGATCCGGGACTGTTGTTCGCGAAGGAGGCTTGTACGTGGTTCCCCGGTGGTTTGGATGGTGACGTCGAGATCGGTGTGGGGCGATGAAGCAGGCTGAAGTTGACGGCAGTGACGTCCGGTGTGTTGATCAGGGGGATTGGTGCAGCATCGATCTCTGTGACTGGGCGACATGCAGGTGCGCATGGAGATCCTCGTTGTCTTGCAGCAGTGTTGCGCGAGGTGTGTGGTTGCGTTTCGGAGTGACTGGCAATGTGAAGCAGAGGACGGCTTCTTCGAAGATCTGCGGCGGAACGGGAATTTACCGGAGCTTGCGTTTAGAGAGTTGAATGAGTTGAACGGAAGAAGTTTCACCGGCAAATTCGGGTTCAAAACCACAGTAACCTACACACACACAAAATTACAACAAAAGAGAAAGACATGGTATTTGATTCACGTTTCAATTTTCTTTATTTTTCATTGCTTTGAATTGTTGTTCTTGCTGGAAAAAAAACAAAGCAAATATTGTTGTTATGGTTAATAATATGTGCAGTGTTAGTTTACTGTGAGGTTGGGTTTTGCAGGTTCATGTTTTTATGTTTCAGCATATCAAATGTTTGATGAAAGGTTTATTTGAATGAAAGGAGATCGTGAGATGTTTGTATGTGAAGAGGATAAAACTTTTTCTGTTTGTTGACTTTACTATGTTATTGAAGAAATATTGTTCTGTATTCTCAAATCTACAAATCAATGAGAACATTTTTTGTTTATGTAAATATTGTATTTACAAAGTTGTTTCAACTTATTAATTAAGCTGCTCAATCGGACATACTTTCCGGTAGAAAAAGTTTACCAAATCCATGATAACAATATGAAATAATAGAGTAAAATTAAATTAAATTGAAAAATAGAATTTAATTAATTAATAAGACATCGCAAAATTAGAAAATGAATTATAAAATTTCAAGTGCAAGGTTTTTAAAACATGGTAATCATCGCAAAATAAATTTGATAAAACGTGAGAACGAAAGTGCGTTAACGAGAGGTTTGATCTCTTTGGAATTTCGGGTGTATGAGTTGAAAAGCGTGGAGATTGTTGATATAAAAAAATATAATTTTTAAATAAAAGTAATCATCAGAAATTATCGTATGGTGTTTAAAATAATTTAAAATTAAAAGGAGATAAAAAAAATTGAAAATCAACTGGAGGTCTCGTATTGAATCATCGGACAAAACAAAAAAAATATTAAAAAAACCCAAGTAGTTTAGAAAAAAGAAATTGCAATCGTAGTGATACAAGTGAATGAGTGATAAATTGTAAGATTGTGAGAATTTGTGGATCGTTGGTGAATTGTGTGTCTGTGAGAACTTGTGGATATTGTGGATGAAAAATTAGGACAATAATGAGTCTTATTTATATAGTTAAAAAACTTGGAGAGAAAGCTAGCCCGAAATGAATGAAATGCCCAAAGCCTGATCTCCAAAAAAGGAAAGAAAATTAGTAACAAAAAGAAATAGAAAAAATATTAAAAAGTGCATTATAAGAGATTTGAACCTGCGACCTCATACTTACAAGCTTCACTCTATACCAACTGTGATATGTTACTTATTCAAAATAAAAAACCAATTGAAAGTACATGAAGACGAGTAAGTATTTGTTTATTCAAAAATATAAATTATCTTGAAATAAATTATTATATTTTTGAATAGGTTTGGGAGCAAAATTTTATAAGAATTAAATAATATTATAAAACTACTGTTTTGAAAATATTTTATGATCATATGAATAATGGGTGGGTAAATTTGGGGGTATGACAGGGTTCAATACTAAGTAGGGGTTATGAATCTTAGTAGGGGTTATGTATCTTAGTAGGGGTTTAGTAGGATTTCCATGCTTAGTAGGGGTTATGAGTCTTAGTAGGGGTTTCATGCTTAGTAGGGGTTATGTGTCTTAATAGGGGGTGGTTTTAAGGCTCACAGAAGAATATTTTAAGATTCATAACCTCTAAGACTCATAACTCCTACTAAGTACATAATCTCCTTTTAAGATTCATAACCCCTACTAAGACTCATAACCCCTACTAAGTATGGAATCCCTACTAAACCCATGGAGTTGATCCTTTTTTTGATGTTTCAGAGGATTTTTACTATGTCCACACTCTTCTTGCTAAAGCTATAGAAGAATATGCTAGTCTCAAGTTTAAGGAAGTAGAGTCAAGTGATAAATCTATCAAAGTGGACCCAAGGCTTGAAACAATTATGGAGACATTGTTGGATAACTTATGGTAAACAAAATATACCATTAAGCTAGGGGCACTGCCATTGAATGCAGAAGATTGGATAAACTTGAGGAAGGAATTTGAAGGAGTGACATTGTTCAAGAAACTTTATCATACTGCATTCACGTCTTTCATTCCTTGGTGATCCTTAAAACCCCTACTAAGACTCATAACCCCTACTAATCATGGAACCCCTACTAACACTCATAACCCTTATCAAGTACATAACACACTACTAAGATTCATAACCCCTACTAAGCATGGAACTCCTACTAAGACTTATAACCCATACTAAGCATAGAACCCCTACTAAACCATACTAAGACACATAACCCCTACTATACCCCTACGAAGACAAATAACTTAATAAGGAGCCTTGGGTCTACTTTGATAGATTCATCACTTGACTATGCTACCTTAGACTTGAGACTAGCATATTCTTCTATAGCTTTATAAGGGTTATGTGTCTTAGTATGTGTTTAGTAAGGGTTCTGTACTTAGTAGGGGTTATTAGTTTTAATAGGGGTTCCATACTTAGCAGGGGTTATGTATCTTAGTAATGGTTATGAATCTTAGTAGGGGTTAAAAATCTTAGTAGGTGGTTAGTAGGGGTTCCATGCTTAGTAGGGGTTATAAGTATTAATAGGAGTTATAAGTCTTAGTAGGGGTTCCATACTTATTAGGGGTTATTAGTTTTAATAGGGGTTCCATACTTAGTAGGGGTTATGAATCTTAGTAGGGGATACATGCTTAGTAAGGGTTATGAGTCTTAGTAGGGGTTCAATACTTAGTAGGGGTTATGATTCTTAGTAGGGGGTTATGTGTCTTAGTAGGAGTTTAGTAGGATTTCCATACTTAGTATGGGTTATGAGTCTTAGTAGGGGTTATGCGTCTTAATAGGGGTTATGTGTCTTAGCAGGGGTTATGAATCTTAGTAGGGGTTAGAAATCTTAGTAGGTGGTTAGTAGGTGTTCCATGCTTAGTAGGGGTTACGTGTTTAATAGGGGTTCTAAGGCTCACAAAAGAATATTTTAAGATTCATAACCTCTAAGACACATAACCCCTACTATATAATCCCCTTTTAAGATACATAACCCCTACTAAGACTTATAACCCCTGCTAAGTATGGAACCCCTACTAAACCCATGGAGTTGATCTTTTTAGTAGGGGTTATTAGTTTTAATAGGGGTTCTATACTTAGTAGGGGATATGAATCTTAGTAGGGGTCCCACGCATCTTAGTAGGGGTTAGGAATCTTAGTATGGGTTCAATACTTAGTAGGGGTTATGAATCTTAGTAGGGGGTCATGTGTCTTAGTAGGGGTTTAGTAGGGTTTCCATGCTTAGTAGGGGTTATGAGTCTTAGTAGGGTTTCCATGCTTAGTAGGGGTTATGCGTTTTAATAGGGGGTTATGTTTCTTAGTAGGGGTTATGAATCTTAGTAGGTGGTTAGTAGGGGTTATAACCCATACTAAGACACATAACATCTACTAAGTGTGGAACCCCTAGTAAAACTAATAACCTCTACTAAGTACGGAACCCCTACTAACCTCCTACTAATATTCCTAACCCCTACTAAGATTAATAACCCCTAATAAGACACATAACCCCCTATTAAGACGCATAACCCCTACTAAGCATGAAATCCCTACTAAGACTCATAACCCCTACTAAGCATGGAAACCCTACTAAACCCCTACTAAGACACATAACCTCCTACTAAGATTCATAACCCCAACTAAGTATTAAACCCCTACTAAGACTCATAAAGAGGATCAACTCCATGGATTTAGTAGGGGTTCCACACTTAGTAGGAGTTATGAGTCTTTGTAGGGGTTATGAGTCTTAAAAGTGGATTCTGTACTTAGTAGGGGTTATGAGTCTTAGGGGTTATGAATCTTAAAATATTCTTCTGTGAGCCATCGAACACATACTAAATATGTAACCCATATTAAGACTTATAACCCCTACTAAGCATGGAACCCCTACTAACCACCTACTAAGATTCCTAACCCCTACTAAGATTTATAACCACTACTGAGACATATAACCCCCTATTAAGACGCATAACCCCTACTAAGCATGGAACCCCTACTAAGACTTGTAACCCCTACTAAGCATGGAATCCTACTAAACCCCTACTAAGACACATAACCCCCTACTAAGATTCATAACCTCTACTAAATATTGAACCCCTACTAAGACTTATAACCCTTACTAAGCATGGAACCCCTACTAAGATTCATAACCCCTACTAAGTATGGAACCCCTATTAAAACTAATAACCCCTACTAAGTATGGAACTCCTACTAAAACCATACTAAGACACATATATCCATGTCTTGACTTTTTATATCTCCTAGACTAGACAATGGATCTATGTATGAACAAATGGTATGCCCTTGTGCGCCAGAATGGAACTCGCACCAGGCATTAGCATCAAAGTTTTGTGGCAACTTTTCAGAATGAATATGCAGTGTACACTTCTGAACCAACTTCAGCTCGAGTAAATGAGGTATTAATTCATTATAATACATAGGAAGTGCATCAAACTTTCTTGGTGGTTGTCTTGGCTTCTATTGATTGCCCTGTCTAGGCGCATATGCTTGTCGCTGATGTGTTGTAGTTGGTATTGTCACAACGGTGACCTGATAATCAGACTCCTAATAAGCCTTTCCTTTACCCCTTCGAGCATAAAGTGCACTTGCTTCTCCTTCTTTCTTCTTCTGGTAGCCACCAAAAGATTTCTTTGCATTGCCAGCAATTTCTCCTGAAACATCCTTCTGAATCTTTCCAATCTTAATTCCAACTTCAATCCTTTCCCTATAGGTTACCAATTCAGCAAAAGTATCGAAAGTACTACAAGAAGTATAGTAGTTCCCCTACAGGGTGCTGGTAAACATGTCTACCATTTCTCTTTCCATCATTGGCGGCATGACTCTAGCCGCCATTTCACGCCACCTTTCCACATATTCCTTAAATGACTCATTTTACTAATGGGACAAATTCTGCAACTGAGTTCTTGTAGGCGCCATATCAGAGTTGTATCAATAATACTGGACGAAAGCTTCAGCTAGCTCTCTCCAGGTATGGATATGGTTGCTCTCAGGTTACATGTATGATTCTAACGGCCCACCAGTAAGACTGTCCTGAAAGAAATGCATGAGTAACTTCTTGTCATCGGAGTACACTGACATCCTCCTGTAGTAATACTTAACATGTGTCCTTGGATAGAAGGTGCCTTTGTACTTCACAAAGTCTGACACTTTAAATTTTGGAGAAATCTTCACTCTGGGGACTAGTCCTGAATCATTCATATCAAGGCCCATGGCACCTTGATTCT